AGAGCAGGAGTAGATTAGGGGGGGGGGGGGGGGGGGGGGGGGGGGGGGGGGATCTTACTCTAGGGTGAGCACGGCGGTCACAAGGGGGGTAGTCTAGAGGGGACCACTTGGAGAGCACTGCTCTACAGGGCATCATCATGGAGAGACGTGAATGTTCCTTGGGAGCAGTGACAGGCTAGGGGTTATGGCGTACTGTAGGCGACAGCTGGCAGGGTTGTAGGGAGGGGTGTTAGAGTGCTTGGTCCACCACAGGGGAGCGCCATTGAGGGATCATCATGGTGGGCAGTGGTATCCTTGTAGGGGTGGGTGGAGATTAGGAGTGTGTCATACCCTGGGTCGTGGGTTGCCAGGTAGTTAGCATCAGAGGTTTTAGAAGAAGTCCACCTGTGATAAGCGAATATCCGTACTGCATGTATTCACGTACTGTCGCATACCATAAAGGTGCAGACTAGAACAAGAACCGACCTCTCTCACATAGTACAGGAAAGCGCAGCGGAAGGCTAAAATACCAATGATCAGACCAATCAATGTCGCAATGCAGACCCAACATGCATCGTCATCATTCCAGGGTGTGAAAAGGGCTGGCGCTCACACAGGAAGAATGCGCCAGTCCCCAACCATACACAGACGAAGCAGAAGGGGGGGTTAGACGAAGCAGAGGGGAAAGATGGGAATGTCGTCAACACCAAGTCTTCGGTACAGGTCCCAAATAATCCCTTGTCCATTGTCTCAATCCCAATGTCGAGTCTGGATCCAAATGTCGTCAAGTCCCAAAGTCACCAATCTCTCTCTCTCTCTCGTAGTCTGCTGATACTGAGAAGTCAGGTGGCGAGAGGGTGAGGAAGAGATGGTGGACTGAGAGGAGGAAGAAGAAGAACTCTCTCTCTCTCTCTCTCTCTCTCTCTCTCTCTCTCTCTCTCTCTCTCTCTCTGTGTATGCCAGGACTAACCTGTGAAGGTGGCGCCTTGTTGCAGGTACATCGAAGACGAAGCTGGAGCTATGGCGCCACAGGTAAGTCTCCCTGGCCTCCACCACATCTCTCTCTCTCTCTCTCTCAACGCGACTCTAACAGCGCCCAGCGCTGAAGACCACTCTAGCGCTAGGTCCTACTACTGCAGCGCTCCACCAGAGTGCTGCTGCCGAATCCTGAAGACTGCCTCCTGCCTCCTGCACGTGAAGTGCCTGGGAAGTCCCTACGAACTACGTGCAGTCTGCAGGGCGGGCCAGTGCTATATAGTGTTGGCCCGTCCGGGAGGCTGCTCTTGCCAATGCCAAAACGTGCCAGACCCTGGNCCTGGCGTTGAACTTCAAACAAAGGTTGTCTTGAAACAGGCCCAAAAATGGCCTGTGCTAAAACCCTGGTCTGGTCAGGGCAGGTCGATCTTATGAGGGCCTGAAAATGGCCCTCCGTTTCAGGCTGAAAAGACTCCGGGCCTGGATGGCCCTGTTTTAGGCTGAAACGACACAGGGCCTGGAAGGCCCTTACTTTTCCTTCTTCTGTCTGGTCGGGCCTTGCAGGTCCATGTGGTGCGTAGTATGCCACACGTACCCTTCGGGTTAACCCCGAAGTAATCAGCGAAGCACAGACCTTGACGAGCAAAGGGCCAGACGGGTGTCAGGTTCAAAAATTTTGGGTGTAATTGCATGGATCTTTCAGAAATGTCCTTGTCTTTTTCACAATTCTTGTCTCGCTGTTGCATACTAGTGAAAGTGAACACAAGTACGAGGCAGAACCGAGAACTGACCAATAACAACGAGCAATATAATGCAGCGGAAGACTTGAAAACATTGATCTGAACTCACATCTGACTCGGACTATACCCTGGCTCACACACATACATTCATTGGGTGAGAAGGCCTGGCTCTCCAAACATAGAAGATGGCGCCAGAGCCTGTACACAACACACACGGATGAATGTAAGGGGGGGGGGAGAGACGAAGGGAGGAGGAGGAGATGGCGCCAACACAAAGTCACTGAAATAGTAACCCGAAGTATCGAAGGTACAGAATCTCGAAATGTCGAGTTACAGAATCTCGGAATGTCGAAGTTACAGAATCTCGGAATGCCGCTGGTGTCAGGAGATGGAAAGGTGGGGCGGAGGAAGATCCTCCTGCCCTGATCCAGTGCCCAGGCACCAACCTGCGGATGCAAGGTGCCGCCTTGGAGCTGCTGAAGACTCGCCCTCGCTGCTGGAGCTATGGCGCTCACAGGTAGGTAACAGGTAAGTCTCGACTCTCTCTCTCTCTCTCTCTCTCTCTCTCTCTCTCTCTCTCTCTCTCTCTCTCTCTCTCTCTCTC